TTTTTATTAATGCACAATCGATTGGACATGTCAATAATTGGCAAAAACCCTCACAAATATTTGTCAAAGATGAGCGACAATAAACCCCCTCAACAAATTAATAATGTGAGATGAGGGGTGAGTTTTCAGTTCACGGTGAATTACATGGATCATCAACGCGCATTTGACACTAAAATTGGGATTAATAATCATAAGAATACACTTGTGTTTCTGGATGCCAAAAAAAATAACAAGGCAAAGTGCTGAAAAGTCAGTGGTGGGACGTTTTGTCGACTTGGTTACTCCCGATTGACACGACCTGCCAACGATAAAGTGCCACCTTTTGGCAAGCTCGCGGAATGTAAAACAACCCCCCCCCCCCCAACGCAGGCCACAACCATCACGTCATTAATATAGAACAAGTTTAAAGTCATTAAAATGACTTAAACATTTAAATGAACAATTGACGTCCTTGCCGGTGTCGCAAAAGACAATAAGCAAAGACCGTTTTTTTTTGTTTTTTTTGCTCGGTCAAAACCTATCCCAAACTGAGGTGCGTCGGTACTTCAGGATTCTGTACGTGGGAGGTACTGGGTAATGTAGTTTTCACAGAGACTTGTGCTTCCCCAGCAGGCAAAGGCTGAGGCACTGGAACAGGCCCTTCACCCACAAGCAATGCGCCAAGACGAGCAGCAACAGACAGGCGCCGGTTGAGGTGTACACACCGATGACGGTGCTCTCCTCCGGTAAGAAACACTTGGACAGCGCGTAACTGCCCGGTGACACGGATGCCTGTTTGGGAGAGAGAGGAGGCGGGGAAAATTGACGATTTAAAGGACTATTTGACAGACGGACCACATGCTAATGAGTTAACCTTGTGTAACCAATCACGAAAAGGTCAAAATAAATATTAAATGACAGACATGATGTGGTACTTCATTGTAATTTATATGTACTGTATTGCAATAGTAAAAACGTTTTAATTTGGTCCAGAAAGGATGCGTTTTGCGTTGAGTACTTTCGATCACGAACTAGCTGCCAAACAGCGAACATGACTGTCGTAAAACGAGCGTTTGCGGTAAAAAGTCAAGACAATTGGCCGCAGTGCATGCTGGTACATGTAGGCATTGCTCACACAAGTAGCCGCTCCAATAACTAAATTGTCTGTGAAATGTATTGACTAATATCATATCAAAATGACTTGATTTTAATTGTATAATGACTTTTGCGTAATAATGCATTCAATTGTCAAATTGTGTGATAAAATGTATTCTTCAAATGTAATTATATTTTATTTATTAAAAATAATGCATATAATCAAAATGACCGTTATTTTTACATATGTAATCACTTCTATTTTAGTGAAATAGACATTAACATGCGGGATTCTGAATTTTAACATTTTCAAAATAGAAATGAATGGAATGTTATTTTTTTAATGATTAAATGTTTTTCAAATGTGTTTTGTTTGAATAGAAACATAAAGGAAAATAACATTTTAGGGGGAAATTTAGATATAGTCGGGCTTGCCTCCACACACAGCTTGGGCTCTGGTACCAGTGTGCTCTAGAGCCTTCTGGGGATTTCATCGTTCTACTGAGCAACTTCAATGCTCACATGGGCGATGACAGTGAGACCCGGAATGGCGTGATTGGGAGGAATGTCCCCCCAATCTGAACCAGAGTGGTGTTCTGTTCCTGGACTTCTGTGTTCATCACAGATTGTCCATAATGAGCACAAACATAAAAGGTGTCTATATGTACACTTGGCACCAAGACACCCAAAGTCGCAGTTCGATGATCAACTTCATGATCAACTTTGTAGAAGTGTCATCGGATTTGCGGCTGCATGTTTTGGACATTCGCGTGAAAAGAGGGCTGGATTTGTCAACTCATCCCCAGAGAAAAGTCTTTCATTCTATGTGTTTTGTTGTAATTATTACTATCCAGTATCGGTTAGAAAAATATTTATCTTCTGTTGAATGTTATTTTTTAAAAAGTGCATTGTATTCTAAATAAAGACCTGTCACTGTGTTGAGTAAATAATAGTCTGTGTAAAGTTGTATGATTTCTCATGAGAAGAAAGCCAAAAGCAAAATAAATACGATGCGGCGCACACTCTACGTGATGCTCAAAGCCGCGGCTGCCGACAGGCCAGTCGGCTACCCACCAAGATGAAACTGGGATTGTTGCGGTTCCTCCAGCTGAAGGACGGCACGCTGACTTCCGGGTACTTGTTGTCGTGGAGGACTTCACAGCCACTGTGGGTGTGGCCGCTCAGGATGAGGCGGGGCTTGAGCCAATTCAGCAGCTGAGGCCAATGAGACAAAACTTTTTTAAATTTTTTTAAATCCTAATCATCATCATTTTGGAGAAGACGTGAGAGGAGACCTCACCCTCTGGGACGCCTCCTTGGACAGTACGTCGTACTTCTCCCTGAACAGAAGGTGGCGCTCACCGGGCGGCGCTGCGTCCGAGCCAGTGCAGCCTGCATCGCTCACTCTGTACAGCGGGCAGTGCTA